CTACATTCATATATACAGTAGAGTGTCGTTTATCCGAAAGTCGGTTATCCGAAAGAATTCCAGTCGGCAAATTTAAATTTTTGCTAGTGCTGTGGCACTGCAATCTTTGACTATATCTTGGGCTACTCCAATATTTTTTTGTTGATGTGTGTTTTTTAGCTGGAAGCACTGGCACTTTTGTGTGGTGTTTTTCTGATAACTGTGTGTCATGCTAAATCGAACGTTTTTAATAGTAGATTAACTTCTAAAGTATAATAATTTTTGTTTTTATATTTTTCAATATATTTATTTTGTTTGTAAAACATAAAGAAATCATTTTTAACGATACAATAGCCATGATTATTATTTTAAAAAGTTTACATTAGGCTTAATATCGATGAAAATCCAACGCGAAGCGACACGCAACAGAGAAAAATTTTAACATGGGATAGGTTAATGTATTTTTTCGTACATAATCGGTTATCCGAAAAATAAGTTATCCGAACCACCCCAGTCCCCAATTGATTCGGATAAACGACGCTCTACTATATAAGTTATATATAGATAAAATATCAGGGCTATGGAGTCGTGTAAAAATCTACAGACTCCAAATCCAACCAGGGGCGGACTTGTTACCAAAAGAGACCCGGAAATTCTGATATCACGCGACCTCAGAATAAAAGATTCAATAAATAGAGTTCTAATAAAGATAGAATGTAGAAACTTTTTATTCCAAAGCTAAAAGACTTCTCTAAGTAATATATAAATATGTATTTGATAATTTTTACTTTTCCAGTTGTTATATATAACAGAGGGAAAGTGTAGCGCTTGGTCAAAAAATGACCCTTTCCAAATTTTTACATTTTTTGGACTCAGGACACCTTGAAATTTTAAGATATGCAAAAGATTTGAGGTTTTTTTCTATATGTGTGGATGTTAGACTGTGTGTGTGGAGCATGATTTTGTTCACTTTGTTTGAAGCTTAATAATTTCTGTGGTCAGAGTGGTTGGAATCGGAGTCAGATGGTTTAATACAGGAGTTAGTTATTAAGTGTCAAAGTGGTTGAACTAAATCATCTCCCCATATACAATCTAACATCTTAGGTGAGAACATCATAATGAGTTTTACTGTACTATTATAAAATGACAAAAAACTTACTTTGAGGGTAGATACAAATTTTATTTTTTTAAAATTTTGAACACTAATAATGAGTAAAATATTCATTAAGAGATATGACACATGACCACTTTTATGTCTTCACCCTGTTGACCTTTAATTAAGAACCAAAATTTAAAAGTATTAATGCCCCTTTATATGCAAGCCACAGTGCCACATTTCGTTTCTTAAACTTTACCCATTCTGAGATATTGTTTAATATCTCAGAATGGGAATTTTCTGTTCTGAGATATTAAACAATATCTCAGAACAGAAAATAAAGAAGTTAAACAAATTAGACACCAACACACACGCGCACGTGAATTTTTTCTGAATTTTTATTGACTTTTTTGAGGGGTTTGAGAGTTCTCCAAATGTGTAGATTTGTTAAAAAAAACCTGGAGGGTCAAATTTGACACAATTCCAATACTTTTCCGTTTTATATACATAACAAGTTGGGAAGTAAAAAGGAGTTGAAGTTGGCGAATTTTTTGATGACTCCGACTAAAATGCCAAAACTCCATGACTCCGACTCCACAGTCCTGTAAAATATTAATATATATATAATATTATATTGCCTTTATAGGCATTTTTATGCATGAAATATAGCTAAAAAAATAAAAACAAAAAAGGTTTTGTTTTTGAGGTCGGGAACAAATTAATCAATTTTATGTTGTTTCTTATGGAAAACTGAAGCTTAATAACTCCTGTGCATTTTGTGAAAAATTTCTGAAATTTTGTAGGCAGGTTCGTGTATTAGGGGATTGATGATATTAAATTTTGGTAGTTATAGGTGGATGAAGTGGGGAGATAAAGGGATACTGTGTGTCATATCTTGAGTGGAGTTGGATTTAATGACAATTTTACTCATTATTAGCATTTGCAATTTTTTATAAAACCCATTCCTACTCTCAAAATTAAGCTTTTTACCATTTTGTAATAATTAAAAATATAAAAAGTTTTAAATAATAAAATATCATGACAGATGATGCTACCAAACTTTTAAATGTTGCCAGGAAAGTCAAGAAATTCATTGCTGGATTTTTATGAAGAAAGGCAATAATAATCTTACTTCACCACCTAATACTTGCAGAGAAAAATTGTTTATTAAACAAAATTTTCAATTTATTATCATAGGCCATTTTCATATTTTTTATCTGGTAATAAATTGTTACAGAAATAGAATATTTAGATATTTGAATTTATGTTTGAACGAAAATTCCAATTAAAAATTTACATTTCAACAAATAAACTAAATGTATAATGAACAAAATATGATATAAATATAATATAAAAAATAAAAGTAAAAACAAAATTGATTGTAGGGCCATATAAGACTTAATAGAAAATAAATTAGGGCATAAAAACTCTTATGTATTTCTATGCCAAGGGCAATGTGTTTGCATCCTTGGCATTCAGACATTGGTCATTAATTTTGCTCTTGTATGTTTCTATTTTTTTCCATGTTCATTGCAAGAGTAGGAGAGTGTACTGCTTTCACAATGCTCACTTTCACTTTACATTCAAGCCTTCTATTTGTGACATTGTTGTTAATATTGTGTTAGTAATAATGCTTACTAAGAAACTGTGCTTACTAAACAATTTCTCAGCAACATTAGGTAGTGAAGTAAGATTGTTGCTGAGTGCACTGTTTGTAAAATGCAATAAAAAAGATGCAACATTTATTAATTTAAAATCATTTCTGTTTTTATTGAAGAAACATAATTGCAAATGAAAAAAACAATACAGAATTGATACAAACTAAAAGAAACTTTCTGAAATCTTTAAATAGTCAAATAAAAAAATTAAATTATTATTTTTTAAATAATCAGTAAAAAAAAACATATTTAAAAAATACAAATTATTATATAAATTTTAAAATGTTTTACAAATATTGTATATATAAAACAAGATTAATTCTATACAATAAATTTTGTATTTATTTAATGGATTTATATTACATTATTATATATAATTTTAAAATTTATTTTCAAAATGTTAAAACTTTTAATAACAAAGTTAATTTAGATTATAAGAATAAATTTTTATATTTGTAAGAATACTTTTATTTATATATTATAAAAAGTCTCTTTAAGTACAAAAATTATTTTAAGTTTTCTTCAAGATTAAGAAATAAATTCAAACAACAGGTTTATATTTTACAGAAAACATTACCCATACAGATATAACATCTTCAACATATGTATAAATTCTGACCCGAACAGCCAGTCTCACCATATCACCTTGACAACAAATTATTTCTTGTCCTAATGGACTCCTAAAATTATAAGTATTATATACTGTATTGAAATAATAATTTTGATAGGTAACAGAATTATAAATTCTTTGAACAAAAATTTTAAAGCTTAAAATATCTTACATTTTATATATAGTTAAATCACTGTTAAAGTAATATTCTAATTTATGTTTATTTCATTTTTAACAACATATAAATATTAAAAAAAATGTTTAATATTTTAAAATAAAGCCCCCAAAACTGGAAAACTGGTTATCTCAAGGGAGATGTCTTGTTAAAGGATTGTGAAAAATAATGGATACACAGTATTATAAACAGAAGTACTATGTATATTTGCTATTCTAGTGTAACACTACATAGTCTATTGTGCAGATATAGCAGAATCTATTTAAAAAATGCTTGATTAACAATATACTGTAAGAAAATTTATTAATACATCACATATCATTTTATGTATTGTACACAAAAGTGTAATGCACAGTCTTAAATGTCTTTATTACTGGTATGGATTTCAGTATACAAGACACTCATCAGCCATACATAAAAATATGTAGATATCTGTTGTAGAACAAATTAGCAGAGAACAATTAATTGACAACAATTAATGTCTATCTATATGGGAGTAGTACGACAAATTCAAAATAATATAACTTATTACTATTAATTTGTTTTTTAACTGTTATTGTTGATACATTGTTTTAATTTAAATTGCTTTCAGCTGATTTTCTATTGATTTTTGATATATATATTCAGAATTTATATATAATCTATTATATTCATGCCAATGTGAAGGTTTTTGAAAATTAGCAATGATGTGTTGTGTTGCATGTTTAGTTTTCAGTGAAGGACAATGTGTGAGCAATATTGCCTGCAAATGCCAAATCTGGCAATATTCCAAGCCAGTTGATTTAGCAACATATTTTTTGATCAGGTAATTTTTCTATATTATAAATTTAGTCAAGCTTTGTTCAAATTTTTTCGTAAAAACAAGGCCAGAGTCAGGCCTAGGCAAACTAAACAATTATGATTGCATAGATCTCAGATTTGATAGGAGCCCATAAACTGATTTGTAAACTTTTATTTCTTTATATTTGAATTTAAATGGATAGTGAACAAAGTGAATACTCTCTAAACCAAAGAGCTTTCAGACTTCTATTACTAACACCTGTAGAGTATGAATAGAAGCAAATGTCAGTATCAGATCAAATTGGTTGGAAAATTATCAATATTGGATTGTATCAGCAGAATTCAGTATTGTATTATCTCTAATTAAAATACAGTTTAACCCGATTATAACGACATTGGATGTAACAACAACCCTAATATAACGTCAAATTTTTATCGGTCCCACGATTTTACTATACTAGATAATGTTAAAAAACCCACTTGTAACGACATAAAACCCTGTTTTAACGTCATATTTGAAGCACTCTTAAATTTACAAAATTAAATCATAAATTTTATTTATCAAAGAAAAGACTACGTGTTCAGTCCTAGGGTCAGAGTCCGCTTCCTAGAATGATTGTGGGTGGTACTGTCACCACCTAATTCAATGGGGTGAGATGCGCCACCCCTTAAACGACGTGATAGTGGGTTAGTCTGCATAGCTCTCATACTCATGTTGTAGTTTAGCATCAAATCAGGTAAAATGGTTAGCTTAAAAAGGAAAGTGTTAACATTAGACTGCAAAGTAGAAATAATTAAAGCAGTTGAAAGTGGAAGAAAAAAGGCAGATGTATGCAGAGACTTTGGTTTAGCAAATTCTACAGGTCTTGTAAAACTTCATCGGAAATAATGAACAAAATCTACGACTTAGAAAATGACATTGATAAACAATTTTTAGGTGAAAAATGCCTACAATCTAAAATAACTGACTTTTTTTAAGTGAATATTTTTATTGTTTCTTTTTAATTGATATACATTAATTTAACCTAAAAGTGAAAGATATTGGACTTCCTGTCTATTGATAGATAAGCAAGAAACGAGAAAATTATCATCCAGGCGTTAATAACACCTGGATAATAATTTCCTCATTTCTTGCTTAATTTAACTTTTTGTTGCCTTTTGATTCGACATTATTCTCAAAACTGAAAGTGCCGCCATTATCGAAACTTGACAAATAAAAATTTTTTATAAAAAATAGTTTTTGAAATTTTTAATTACATCGTTGTAAATTTAGACATAATAATGTAAATAAAGTTGATTTAAATATTTACTTTGCACTTTTATACATACGATATTAAATTAGATGAATTTTATAATAGATTCTTAAACAGACTTGATACTTTTATGGGACTGAAATTATGACCCTGCAGATAACGACACTCGGTTATAACGTCAAAAAATTGCTGGTCCTATGGATGACGTTATAAGCAGGTTAAACTGTATTTACTTTTTTGTAACCATTATAATTTATGTGATTAAAAACTATGCTATAAATGAAAAATGACGTAAATAGAAGTGAGCAATTATTTATTGTGACATCATCACAATGCCGGGCTACAATTTTTAATCAATTTTTTAAATTTATTTAATTTAAAATATATGCTCTTCACCTCAAATTAATAGTGTCTGGCCCCTGTACATAATACTTTTCCTGTTAGCAACAGAGCATGCCATCACCTAACTAACTCCTTACAGGGGAAAATGTTTTAATTGAAATAATGTGACTTCTGGTTTGCATTGGAAGTTCTTATACAATTAATCAGGATCTACTGTCCCTAAGTTTTCCATATCTGGTCTTGGATTTCATCTATTTAACTTCATTCTCAAGATTAAGGAAAGACAAATGGATGACAGTGGAAATTTATAGGTCTTCAATTTTTTAAAATTGCAGTTCAATAATTAATTTTTTACTTTTAAATTCCTATTTTGAAAATTAATGTATTTATTTTTAGAATAATAAAGAAAGGAAAAAATAAAAGAAACAAAATGTGAACATCAATTACCATATATCTTGACAGATAAGATGACCTTCAGATAAGACGAGGTATAAATTTTTGTCAAAGTTTTATAGTTTTAGCATATATCTGTCCTATAAGATGACCCCCAAACTATCAACAGCGTATGAATTTAGTTTAGGTCAGCAATCGTCATCTGAATAATAATACTATATAGTGTATACAGAATTATGTCCTATTGGTAATTTTTTGAATGAACAAATTTTATTTTCTTGCATCTGGCAGCACTGTCTTGCGATTGTTGCAAACATTCCCACTGATTCGGCATTCGGGTAATGACCTTGACTATTCACAAAAACATCGTATGGGCTATTCTATTTTGTGCACATACCCTACTCTCTCTCTCTACTAGTAAATAATTACGGTTTGTCCGTTTTTTTATAATGGTTTTAATTTATATAAATTTCAATCTAATTTTTTTTGTATCTGTTCTATAAGATGACCCCGGATTTTGGGGGCCTTTTTTTTATGATTCAACTATCATCTTATCTGACAAGATATATGGTAATATTAGAATGTGTTTGTAGCTATATAATGTAGTGGATGGATTAAAAAAAATGTATAGAAGTTCCTATATTTTTTAGAATAAAAGAAACTTTTAAGAATTCAAATTACTTTAATAAATATAAACTTTTACTCAATAGAATAAAAAGATTTTGCTTACTGCAAAATTTCTTGAAAGATTTGTTTGGAGTTTCTATGTAGAAAGTGAACTGGGAGGGCTTTAAATGTATGGCCTTCTGGAACTATTCGATAAATAGCATCATGAAAATCATCATCTTCATTTAACATACCTATTTAAAATTTACAAGGCTTTAAAATAACCAAAAAAAAAAAAAAAAAATTATTCTACTAAATAAAAATATTAAATCA